TGTGAGAAGTGTTTTTGAGTAGAGAGGGGTTTTCGAGATGCCGTATTNAATCGGCGAAGAATTTGTAAAATTCTATCTCTCTTTGTGTGTGTCGGTGATTGAGTTCATTCGTTGACCTCGCTAACTCATCAGCGATGGAGGCCAGTGCAGGTTTGGTTGCTGGATCCTACCGGAGAAACGAGCTTGTTCGGATCCGACACGAATCTGACGGAGGGGTTCGTTCCTTTTCATCTTTTGCTTTCTCTGTTTTGTTTTCTTCTTTCTTCATTTGTCTTAGCTTTACGATTTTGATTGGTAGATCTCATCTAGATTTCTCCCTTTGTTCTAAATCTTGTCCTTTTAGGATCCAAAATTGGATCATGGAAAAAACTCAGATTCCGATCTTTCACTGAGATTTATAAGCTTCTGTCAGTGTAGTTGGTTAGTGTCTGCTTATCAAAGCGGCTAAAAATGGAAACTTTTTCTGCTCTTAAGACTTCTTGTGATTGATCATTTCCGGATCTGTTTTTTTCGTTTTCTAATAATCTCTTACGGATAGTGTCGGTGGATTTCAGTTTTACATTCGTGATCTACAGATTTAATTCGTCATCAAATCCTTCACTCTCAAAGTCCATAACTTTACTTATTGAAATGTAGCTCAACTAGATCTCGTTAGATCACTCTGCATGATTGCGACTGACCTTAATTTACATCTGCATTGATTTGGAGATTGTTCTTGTTAACTAACAATGATGCAAGGTTGATCAAATTGCAGCCAAAACCTTTGACGAATATGAATGGCCGGATCTGTCAGATCTGTGGTGATGATGTTGGTCACGCTGAAACTGGAGATGTCTTTGTGGCTTGTAATGAATGTGCCTTCCCTGTGTGTCGGCCTTGCTACGAGTACGAGAGGAAAGATGGAACTCAGTGCTGCCCGCAATGCAAGACTAGATACAGACGACACAGAGGTCCGTAGTCTTTTTCTTGTTTTGTATGGGTTTTTGAGTGTTTTCTATTTAGTCATTGCTGCTAATTTGTTGAACAACCTTTTTTGTATTTTGCAGGGTGTCCTCGTGTTGAAGGA